AGTGTAATATTATCATCAACTATCAGTTATTAAACATCCCTGCCAGGAAGGAGCATGGCCTCCTGCATGTCTAGACTGAAGGGGACGAGGGAAAATGGTCTTTGTTTGGCCTCTCACACCGATTACTACTGTTATAGGGCATTTTGCTATCATCTCTACCAATCCAAAGATTTTTTCCTGGTGAAATTGAATTTGGAAATCACACATTGTTTGTATGCAATTGATGGGCAAGAGGCATATGTTATGAGTTAGCTCTCATATGATTTGTTTTTATAAGGACATTATATGGGATATGTGAAAACACATTTGTTTTCATATTATGCCAAAGAAGGATTCAGTGTATCAATCCCCTCTCCAACAGGCAAAAAAAATGTTTATTGGGGCACTATCCAATGAGGTTCAACTGCAAATGTTTTGTTAATAAGAATGCTTCGTATTAGTATTAGTTTTGATTTTTGAAAGAACCTGTTTTAGACAACAGAATCATATTTTTTGCATGTCAAAGACACTCCTATTGACTTGCATTGAAGTAAAAATTATAGTTAAATCTCTTCTTTACGATAATGTAAAGATGGAAATATCAGATTTACTTGTTTTGAAAAGATTTGAAACAGACTTATTATCATATTGAATAGAAAATTCATAATTGTATTTTTCAGGGTACAAATGTAACTTGGACTGGACTTCTGGGGCTGAAGCAAGAGCATGCAGCTGTACAGATGATCTATGTCTCGGGTAGCAGTGATGTTGCACGTGGTGCCTTGCCAATTCATCCAGATGGAACTACTTCTGTTATGCGCATTGGCCAGAGAATGAGATTAGAACAAACACAACTTGAAGGAGTTGCAAGGAAAATTCAGGTAATGATGATTTACTGTGTCTGTGGAGAAAAGCATATTCGTTATGGTTGACTATGAAAAATATTGTTGAACAACTTTCTGTTAAAAATAATACTAGAATTAAAGTTATAAAATACAATGGAATTAAATCTTGTACAGTAGATAAAATATTTGCAACAGTTTTAGCATGACATTAAAGTAGACCTTGTATTATTTTTTATCTAAAGATGTGTATTGATTTTAATTTTGTATTGTATTTGAACAGATGGAAGCAGAACACTGCATGCTACTGGCTCTTCCTCATGGCCGAGACTCCTATGACATTATCCAACAGCACAATAGTCTACGTAATGGCATTATCAACTATCTTGTTGTGAAACAGGCTGCAGGGATTGTTAATGTTACTGCTCCTGGCACTCATCAGGTTTGTAAATTTATTCACTGTGTCATTTGATTGTTCAGCATAGGCAAGGTTTTATTATTGAGGAAAAAGATAGTGTTGTTTCAGGTGAAAATTGATATTTACTTCTTGACATATATTGGTTTTGGAAAATCAAGAGTATCAGGATCTTCCTTTATTTGATAATATTTGAAAAGAAATACTGTTTTTATTTGCTTTATTATGTGAAAACAGAGAAATGTGATGAATGGCATTGCACCACACTTGAAATTAATTAATGTTATACCTCTCTCTAACTAAATGATGCTGATACTGGCAATGTATATTTATATTCCATAGAGATTTAAGATACTGGTTTTGTTTTGTATTTGATTATAATTGACTTTGATTTCTTCTCTTTTCCAGCCTGCATTTGTGGTTCACATATTCCCACCTTGTGATTTTGCAAATGAAAACTTGGCTAGAATATCACCAGATTTGTTGCATCGAGTTGCAGAGATCTCGTATCTTCTGGTGGTTATTGCTACTTGCTGAGTCTCCTTTTTAATACCGAAGAAGGATTGTGATACCTGAAATATAATTTTTTATGGGAAATGTACAGCCAATATGTTTTATGAGGTTTTGGAAGTGCATTTTTATATCTTGAAAAGAGACCTAAACCAGATTTGAAATTGAAAATGGAAACTAAGAAATATTGAAATTATATGACTGAAAGTTGTGCTATATGTAATTTTTCTTTTTGCATCAGACCATTTTCTTGTTTTGATTGAAGAGTATGACAAAAAGAACTTGATATTAATGAGTTTTATGCAGTGATGAAATGACCACTTCTTAAATAACTGCTGCAGAATCTATATTTTTGTGAAGTGTTTAAGTGTGAAACTGAAAAGACAGTAATAATGATATGATTTATACTGTATGTATTAGATATCCAGAAATTAACAATGTAAGGAAAAGTTGATTTAAATCTTAATTGATTTTCTGTAGTTTGAGTTACCTTGAAAGCTGTAATTCAAGAATTAATGTAATATTATTTACTTTGTAATTAACAGAAAATTGTAGATTCTATTAGATTTGCACAACTACTTTATTGCAAATAATGGCTTGTATTTGTGATGTATGTAAAAGAAAATTTATTTGATTTAATGGCTGATACACTGAAATATGAACAATTAACAAGTAAGACCTTGCTCTCTCTCTCTCTCTCTCTCTCAGTGGTAAATGATGTGGAACACTGTGATTACCGTTTTAATGAACAATGTAACAGGAATAATAATAATGTGGAAAAAGTGGTCAAATGACACCATTAAACTAATAAAATAGGTAAATAATGAAGAAATTTTGGGATAATAAAACTGGTTTGATGTTGGTGTTAAACTATGGAAATGATAAGCTTGCCTCACTGTCGTGTTCTGATTGTTTGATGTGCACAGCTTGCAACATCTCAATATACCTGTAACCACTATATATGACTAAGCACGCTAGAAAGGACGTAATATTTTGGCCCGACAGCACTAGACCCTGAACAGTAGTATGGCATGGAATGGCAGAAAATCTGGTTTATGGTGAAGTGGCCTAAATAGGCAGTCCATGCTACTGTTTCTGTGAGACTCTCCTATGGACACCCCAATTAAAGTCATATCTTGACTTGCCTCCACATGAGTGATGTATGAGTGTTGTGTAAGTTGTGCAGACACAATTTTTTGTGTGGCCTAACCAGCCTTGGGCCCAATGGTGCCCATATGCCGCCTATGGTGTTTAGACGAGCTGTATAGTTGTAAATACAATAATGATTGTAGAATAATTCTTTTTTACTGTTCATTTTTGGTGGGTATGTACTTAAAAATGCTGCCACAACCACCATTATGATTGGTGATTGACACACAGCTAGATCCAAAGCTCTGATATGGCTGTGTGTGCACCAAAATGTTGTTCGTGTGTATACACTGCATTCAGGGTGGCTGTGTGCAGCCCATTGTTATTGTATGTACAGATCTAAGCATGGAGTCACCCTGATTTATTTATTTATCAGTCATCTTGTTCATCATCTGTTCCATCTTCCTCATAAATACTCCCCCTCATAAGTGATGCTCTGCCTCCTTGTTTTCATTCACATGCACATACACACCTGCCAGTCACATCTTGTCTATGTCTAGTGTGGAAGATCTAAGAAGACAGTTTTCACTATTACCAATTCCTACCTTAATCTTGTGATGCCTGTCTCCTGGGCTCGTGAGCACAGTCCTCAGGAACCTTCTCTACTGCAACACTCATTCTTAGCCAGCTATCAACATGTGGATTTCTCTGTCTCACTCATACACTTTCTCTGTTTTAATGTGGCACGTTAATATGAAGGAAGTCTGTTGCTTTTGTCCCCTTTTCTTTGATTTACAAATTGACATCTTTCACCACGAATTTGCAAAGCCTTGCAGAATCATCTGAGCTAAACCATCCCCCCCTTTCTTTTATACAAAGCAGCTATTTGATTCTTACTTGCCTGTCACACTTCATTGAATAAGGTGTCAAACAGATTCTCATAATATAAGAAGGCGCCTAATGCGGATTAGCCTGCCGCTGCTATGGCACTCTTGGTATAGGATTTTAAAAGAAAATCTGTAAAGCATTTGGTCTAGATTTAAAAAAGCTTACTTGGTTCTGCACTGTTTTCAGTTTCTCAGCAGAATTCAATCTATTGTATGTTTGCTCAAGAAGTTAGCGGAATTCTATTTTCACTTTTTATTAATATTATGTAAAATATGTGGCAAATCTATTTTTGATGTACAGTTTGAAAATGTGAAAAAGTGTTTAAATGTAAGTGTACTTGTTAAGTGTTGCATACAAGATACGAAGTGTGTCTGAGGCGTTTGTAAATAGGTCTAAATAAACTTTTAGGCTGTGATCCTCAGTTCTCTAGAAGCTTCTTTGGTCAGAAAGTTTATTAAAAAGTCCAGTGACCAATTTAAATTATTTCAAAAACCAATAAATATCACAAAGAAATTTAATATTTGTGTTTCTATCATGCCTTCAAATGTTTGTTTTACTGCAAATGATGCTGCAGTTTGCCATAAAGTATCGTGCTTTATAGCAATTGATACGCCTCTTCTATTCTTTTTTGATATTCCAATTATATAAAACCTAGTCTTGATATTAAATCAAGTTATTCACATGAATTTTATGCCTATGTGGGTGCAGCAAGCTAATGAATCATAAATTCATCCTTGTAATACTGATTTGAAGTAAGATTTGATTTCAATTGAAAATTCATTTTGTTTTACAGAAGTGATTTTATAATCGAAGTTCCATCTAATTTTTCCAAAGTAGAAATGTATGTGCCTGATATAACATTTGAAATGCAGTAAAGGGTACCAAGCATAATGGTCAATTAAAAGGTATTAAACAAAAATTGGCGTATTTCTGCATTCACCTTATATTGAGTTATAATTAATCAAGATTGTAAATTCACGTACTCATTTTTTTCTTCCATATGCATGCACTGCAGCCATATCGGCTTATTTTACCCAAATGGAAGGTGTGTGTGTGTTGGGTAAATTTGTGGTGTGCAGGTATTATGGGGAAGTTCATCTTTGTGTAAACCTTAGAGTACAAGACAACACCTTAATCATAGCAAAACGCATTGGATTTTCTTCAACACGGATCCATTGGCAACGTGTTCGTGGTATGACGTCATAGCTTATGTCCCGCCCCTCCAATCATTGTCTTATCATTTTTTTTTTAATGCCCTTGGACCAAACGTTTTGATGACTGGTATTTCTTCAAATAGAAATGTTTGATACATTGTGGAGTACAGATAATAAAGACAATTCATGATCACACCATAAGAGATCAGTTTACCAAAGAGTTTTGGTAATCCTGCTAGATACATAAAATACATTACCTATGTATTTCAAGCAAAACTACAAGTCCACAGTTCCACCTATAGGTTGGACATTCTTTTAAAATGCGTAACTTTTACATTTATATACTTGAAAATTATCTAACGATGACAGGAAACTATCAATAAGAAAAACTCCCAATCGCTTCAATTCCCTGGACAGCAAAGGTAATCATTCATTATTGCCACTAGGACCGTGCATTCTAAGCTCCTACCCGGATAGCCTTCTAGAGGTTAAACCTCAGGCGGATGCCACCTCTTGCCACCTCCCCCAACATTGCCCCATATAAAGCTATGGGGCCCAACTTCACCAGTGGGGTTCCATTTACACTGGGTTGGCGGCTGCCAGGGTGCAGGTGGGACGAGTAACTACAATCCACCATACTTGTAGGGTGAGATGGGTGATACTTGCTTGACCATGACCCCGTACCTCTAGGTCCTGCTGATGCTCCGAGATCCCCCACAGTTTAGACTAGGACTGCAGTTTCTATGAGTGGAGCTCATGAGAATATCGGCTGGAGATTACTTGTGGATTGTTTTTACATACAGAGTATATAATTGCCCTTCGTTTCCCCCGTAAGGAGGGGACACCCCCCAAAATTATATATTTATTTAATTATATATTTATTTATTTCACTGTTTCCGGTACACCAGAGGTCTTATTTTTCTTGATTTACCTGAGAAGTATCCTTGTGTTAGATCTATCCAATCCAAGGCCGTGTAGATTTCCGATTTTTTTCCTGTTTTTTTGGGGGGCGATTGGTTGACATGAGACTTTTTGGTCATTTTCAGTTTTACGTAAATGTATTTATTTATTTATTCGAAAAGTCAAAAGTCGGAAATCTACACGGCCTTAGAATTCCGATGCGCTAGCGAAAGCAGCATATCGCGTTTGAATCGCACGAAAAGTACGACAGTTCTGATGTACCGAAGCTTATGTAAACAGTCCGGAGAAATACCGCTGGTAATGCTGCGTTCGGAACTGCTCGTCTATCTCGTCCAGACTACTTGTCCAGGACCAGCAGGACGAGATGCGCCGCGTTCGGAACCTCCAAGACCCTTTCTGCCCAGAATGCAACCGGCTCGAATGTAAACATTCACTTTCTTATCATACCGGTGTCTTTATTTTACACGCTGCATAGGTTTTGTAATTCCTTTGATGCACATTTAACTAACCTGAACAACCTGATGCACATTTAACTAAACTAAACAAAAATATCCTTTGATAACACCAATTAAGGGTCTTAAAATTACCCACCAATATCTTGTGGTTACCTGCAACTGTCAGTGTTTACATACAAAATCTATTGTGACGTCATCTCGTCCTGCTCGGCCACCTTCGCAGGGGGCGAGTAGGACGAGATAGACTACTTGTCCGGGACGAGATAGTGGAGGTTCCGAACGGTCAAAACATCTCGTCAAACTGGTCTGGACGAGGTAGACGAGTAGTTCCGAACGCACCATTGCCGAAGTTCGTTTTCTCTGTGATTATCGCTAAATCTAATGATGTTATATTTAATATATATATATAAAAAACTCATTTTTAGTGTACTTAGCGATGCGATGATTATCAAGTCAATCGGAATGATAATTTTCAATAGGGACGATATTCTGTAAAGGTAGGTCTCATTTTGTTTGTTTTTAGTCTTTGGATATAAAAATAGATATTTCTGTCTGAAAAATTTAAATGCATTAAACCATAGAGACAGCTAGTAGCTAGTGTAAACCAGATAAAACTTTTTAAAATTCGATTTTGAAGAAATGGAGAATGTGGATGGCAAAATCAGTACAGAATCATCCTAGTTATAAAGTCCTAGCATGAATACAACATGGCTGTTCAATTTTGAGGATTTTAAAAGCATATGTATAAAGTACTTCGAATTCGAGACTAAACGAAGAAGTTGAATTTTCCCCATCTTCCCTTGCCCACAGGAGGGGGGTGGCAAAGGGTCACTGGGATTTTATAATTTTTGAGGGGGATCATTTGTGTAAACACGCACCATTTTAATCATTTATCCATTTATTATCCATTTTAATAATCCTCATTGAGGAGTTGTAGTGGCCCGTGAGGGCCAGGAACTAAAGGCATCTGTTCCGGCGGTTACGGGAAACGCGACACCTCTTGTGCGACAGGAATCGAGCAGACGGTCAACTTTAAATGAGTTGCCATATGCATTCCTCCTGCTTTGGATATTTCATGTATATTCGTACTTATATTGGATATCTATAACACCGCACTATCCACCATAAGATATCAAAAGCCATCTTGGATATCATATTCCAAAATACTGTTTACCTGTTGGAAAAATAACCAGTACAGTAAAATAGCAAGCCGTCAACCACGATCATTCCCATTACGACACAGAAAT